AACATGCACACTGCGGGCAAGGGGACAGCATCAGTGCCCTCCCAGCGCTGTGCTCACAGCCAGCCCTGCTCCCCCGGCTCAGCCAAGGGCTGCAGTGCTGGTAGGTGAGGTGGGAACGGGGCTGGGATGACGGGGATGCTTTGGCTTGTCCGGTTTTCAGCCGTCCCAGATGGGTGGGCAGAGAATTTGGTGCTGTTGGGACCTCTGCAGAGATCCCACGGATGTGGCTGATCCCTGCTCCCTCTCCCATGAGTGCAGAGGACCCAGGCTGGGTGGGCAGGGGATGTCCCACGCACAGGTGGTGTGGGCTGGAGAGCCCCCAGAGGGGAAGGAACAGAGACTGACCTGACTGAAGGTCCTCAGGAGACAGCACCTGTAGGGGCAGAAGGACAGCTTGTCCCACCTGATGCCATGTTGGGGCTCAGTGCCTTGGACAGGAGGGTCCTGCCTGCACCAGAAGCTGCCTCAGGGATGAGCAAAGGGCTGGTGTGATGGGCAGCCACATGTTGCCAGCTGCAACCAAGGGCAAATCCACAGAATGGTGGGAAGTGAAACGAAGGACCCCAAGCAACCCTAACCAGGAGGTCCCTGTCACATGGCCTCCACCCAAGCCCCCGTGAAAGTCAGTGCTTTCCCACACAGCTGGGGTTCTCTCACCTCTCCCTGCAGTGCCAGGCCAGCCAGCAGTGTGCCCACCTCCTGGGCCAGGAGGGCTTCCTTTCCCACCGCCAGCTGGGTCAACATCTGCTGGGAGACACCCTGAGTCAGCCACTGTGCCCGGACCCCCAGGAGACACCAGCTTCAGAGTGCCACCAGGAGAGCCTGCAGCATCTCCGGCAAGGATGCTCTGCTCCAGAGCTGTGCCAGGGGCAGGCAGAGCGGAGCAAGACCTTGCACTTATGGCCAATAGCTGCTCTGAAGTCGCAGCCCAGCCGGTTGTGTTACGGACCTGTTCTAGTTTCTGGAAGGAGCTGGAGCTGCTGGTTGCCCCCATCTGGAAAGCCAGGATGCAGCGGAGCAGGGGTCGTGCCTCTGCTTCACCCAGTGCCTGCAGATCCTCGCTCAGCACCCGTGTCAGCAGCAGAGCCTCCTCCAGGTGCTTCTCTTTGCATCTCTTCGCAGTACTCCTGGAACAGCACAGGGATGTGGTGAGGATACCCTGGCTCCGTGGAGGTTATAGTGGGGGGGATACCCTGGCTCAGTGGAGTCTGGGGTGGGAGTGTCCCAGATCAGTGGGGATTGGGGTGGGGGTGCCCCAACTTGATTTGGATTGGGTCAGAGTGCCCCAGCTTGGTAAGTGTCAGGGTTGGAGAGCCCCATCTTGTGAAGCTCCCCTCTTCCAACTGCACTCAGCATTGCACTGGGGAAAGCGGGGATCGGCTGGGGGAAACGACACGAACTCCTCAAAGGTTAGAGCCTGCAAACCCTTTGTGGGGTGGGGCGAGTGGTGCAGAAGGACACGAAAAATCCTAGAGGCTGCTGCCCTGCTGCTATAAAGCAGGCTGGAAGGGATTAGGGACACGTGGGGGTCGGGTACCGACCCTCTAACACTCCCTCCCTGCCGACCCGCGCCGGGGGGATGCTCGGGGGGATGCCGAGATCCGCGCCGGGCGATGCACGGGGGCTCCACACCGGGGGTTCCCCGACGGACCCGCAACCGGGGGGATACCGGGAGCTCCCTCCCCGGGGCCCGCGGTCTTACCCCGCGAACTGGCGCAGGCAGCGCAGGCAGGACAGCACCGGCGGGGCGATGCCCAGAGTCCCGTAGAAGGCGGCGCAGGCCTGCGCCTCCCGCTCCGCTCCCATGGCCGGGAGCGCCACAGACCATAGAGCTCTCCGGAGCTCGGGCGGGCTCCGCCGGGCTCAGCGGCCCCCCCTAGCGCTGTCCCCCGGCCCGCCGGGCACCGCCGGGCACCGCCGGGCACCGCGGGGCTCCCGGCAGCGCCGCTCGGGAGGAGGGATGCGCGCCAAGCCGAATCCTTCATCCCGATGCTGGACCCACCGCCGGCGACATCCAGGGGTTGAGAATCATCATCATCATCATCATCATCATCATCATCATCATCATCATCATCATCATCATCATCATCATCATCCCAAACTGTTTCCACAGCCAGTTAAAAGGGAGACACCCCAGAGTGGCTGAAAACCAGGGAGGTGGTGCTGCCTGCCGAGCACAGAGGGATTTGGTCAGTGTGAGGTGGTGTGAGATCTCTGAAGTGCCCCCTGGAATGCATCAGGGTGAAGCAGTTGTCTCATTCCACCGCGGTTCATTGCAGAGGAGGAGGTTTGGTACTCCACAGTCCTCCTGCTGTACCATGGGTACCCTCTCTGGTAGCCAGCATCCCTACTAGCCAGCATTCCTAGTAGTAGCACCACTAATAACACCAGTACCCAGTGAAGAGGCTCCACTTCTTCTTGCGGGATGAAATGGCCTTTGGAGAGAGAGAAACAGATTTATGATAAAACTAGATGTTAATTACCATAAAATCCAAATTATTTTATTTGCATTCTTTTTGTCAGTTGGCAGAGGGGTTGAATTATTTTAATAGGCATGATTTAAAGCTACCTTGCAAACCAAACCATTCCGTGACTCCATTATTTCTGTGTTTTTGTTAAACATAGTTTTTAGCACCTGGCTAATGCATCCCACTGAATTTCAGCTATCCAGAGAGTGCTTCTTGGCTTTGACTTCAAAGGCTTGTTTTTACCCTGTGTTGTTTCTCACAGTGGCACTGGGGTGAGCGATGGGCATCGGCTGCTGATGCCACTGGATGAGCCAGTGTCACAGGCAACCTAGGAAAACCGGCTGGGATGCACCTGTGGCTGCACTGGGTGGCCAGGAGGATGCTGAGATGTGGCTCCCTGGGCGAGAACTGCACTTGGGGATGGAGAGCACCCAGCCTGTAGTTCTTGGCAGCATTTGTCAGCAACATTCATCTCTGTTCTGCTGTGAAACAGCCCAGGATTTGTCCCAGGTAAGGCAAAGGAGGTCACATCCCTCAGACCTGATTCTCTGTTCCCTGAGCACCATGGCCACCCCACAGAGATGAGAAGGGAATGGGGAGAAGCACTACCAAACCAGAGCTCCCACAGGTGCCAGCACCCAGGTTGGGGCAAGGCAGAGGAGGGTGCTCCCATGTTGTAGGGTTACCAGTGCTCCTGTTCCCATCCCCTTGTGCTGCCTGCAGAAAGGAGAGGCAAGGGAGGGAAAAGGGGATTTTTTTCTTGTTTCACCATAGGAAGGATTTTCAAACCCTATAAATTCACTTTTGACAAGTGAACAGCTAAAGCAGATTAACCTTTTTGCTAATCCTCTATAATGGCTTTGGAATCTCCTTAACCAATAAGAAAATGATAAGAGCCTGTTTCTTTTCTTTTTATCTATATCTATATTGTCCTCTCTTGTCTGCATTTTTTTCCTTGCTTGTTTTATTTTCCTTTCCTTTTCTAATATGAAATAGCCCGGTGATCCTATCTCCCAGAGGCTCAGTAAACAGAACATCAAAAATCCCTTTCCTTTATTCCTCTCTGGTAACAGGGTGCAGAGAAGTGTCTGCCGATTGGGATTTGATTACCAGCAGCTATCAAAAGTCTCTTTGTAAGATCTGGATCCTAAATCCCATAATTCTTTGATAAAAGAAGTATTACCAGTCCATTTTCTGAAGTGAAAGGTACGAGAGGAATGAAAGAAAGCAATCAGTGGAGATCCTAATAGGCTAAGTGCGTGTGCTGTGGGAAGGCAGGGCCAGGCCAGGGAGCCCAGGGAAAGGGGTCCTTTGTTAAGGATGGGGAAGGAGAATTAATCCGCTTCAGGCTTATGATTATCACAGCCAAGAGCAGAAATGGTGGGATCCTGCACCTGCCAGGGCATGTCCTCAGCAGCCCTACAGTCCTTCTGGGCTGGCACACTGTGGGGAGCAGGACCTGGCCCCACATCCCCGTTCTGTGCCAGTGTTTGGACATGAATGAAAGCTGGGAGCAGTTTGTAATGATCCCTGGTGTTAGGGCATTCCCAGCGCTTCTCTGGAGTGCTGACACCTCGGCAGGGTGGTTTAAACCTTCCTAAGCAACCTGAGCTCAGTCACACCTTCCTCATTTTATTCCCAGCTCCTTGTTTCCTCCAGGCCTTGCTGTTTGCCCTTGTGAGGGCTGGAGCCAGGCGTCCCCTCCAGTCCTGAGTCACTGTTCCTGGCTGTAGCCTCAGCCCAGTTTCTCTGGCTGGACAGGAGTTGGGAATTGAACTGGCTTTGGGGAAGCCTGGCTGCTCCAGGCAGCTGTCCTGGCTGCTCTGGGCTCACTGAACCACGGGACTTCAATGCCTGCCTGAGAGCACGTGGAGGCAGCAGCTTCAGTCCTCCCCTCCCCTTCCCGACAGGGAGCACAGCACAGCCGTGCAGGAGGTGGTTACAAGCCACTAAGCTGTGGTGCAGAGCTGCTGTGAGCTGCCAGTAATCTAATTTATTAAGGGCTTTGAATCCTTACAAAGAGTATGTTGGGTACATGCAAAACATCTGCATTATCAGAGTGATTAGTGCAGCAGAGGTGGGGGAAAAGGGAAGGAGGGAAAATACAATTTCTCTGCCTTCAGCAGAAAATAAATCAACTTTCACAGAGAGTTCTGGCACAGCCAAAGGCTGTGCTGTCATTAAAAAATGATTTTTTATTAAGCTCAACTCTCTCCTCTCTCATATTGTATGATATGACAGCTCTCTTTTGATGGGAAAGCTTTCATTTGGCCAGAGAAAGGGATAATTTGCTTCTTTTAAGGAGTTAATCCTCTGGTCCATTTCCGGGCTGGGAACAGCTATCCTCCCCCTTCCTTGGATCGGAGGCTGCAGCACAATGGAGATCATAACCACCTCAAATCTACACCCGAGATGGAGAAATCTGATTTCCTTCTCCAGTCATTTTTGTGGGATTAGCTAAATCTTAGATCCACACTAACCCTTCACAAAGCTGCCAAGATTAGTTAGAATTTATTTTATTCACAGGGGGGTTTATGGTTTTCTTTCCAAGGGGATTATATCTCTCTCTATATATATTTAGGGTGGCTTCAGCCATAAAGCAGCTGGGTCAGAAGGAGGAAAAGTGTCCGTGTGTATGAAATAAAACCTCAGCTGTGAGAATGACAGTCACTTGAAATGCCAAGACAAAGCAGTGGTTCTGATGGTTTTGCTGGTCCATTTTAAAAGCTGTATAAGCTGTCCTTTCCCTTGTGAGACTCCACTAAGGAGCTAGTGCAGGCAGAACAAACCCCCTCAGCCCAGGCTGCCTGTTTGCCCAGCACAGGATGACTTCAGAACCGGCACCAGATGGGGACCCCGGCAGGAGAGCCCCGAAGAAGCCGTGTCCGTTCAGCATCGAGGACATCCTCTCCAGCCCTGTGGAGAAGAGCCCCCAGGTCTTGGTCCCGCTGTGCCTGCGGGGCATCTTGGACTGCACACCCAAAGGGCTGTGTGAGCTGGAGACCATCCCGGCCAGCTCCCTGCAGGAGGAGGAGGAGGAGGAGGAAGAGGAAGAGCTGGAAGGGGCAGGCTGTGGCTGCTGCTGCTGTTCTCACACAGGTGCCCGGTCTCTGCAGGACTCGCCGGTTTGGCTGGGTGAGTGTTTGGGTTTGATTCACGGCGTGGGGCTCACGGGGGGGCTGGTGATAGTGCTGAGTGTGGGGGAAAATGAGGGTGTTGAGTGGCATCTGTGGCATCTGGCCACAGGTGGTCTCAGGCCCCAGCTCCAGTGAGCCGAGCTCTGCTCTTAGAGGTTTAGTGTGAAACCCTTGAGACGATGATGTTTCTAGGGGAACAAGTTCTCTGTGGAGTGTGGGGCCTCATGGCCATGCTGCCCAAGTGCAGAGCTGTGCCTGCGCTTCCTGACAACACCAGCCATGGGGAACCTCACTTGTTCCTTAAAGAAAAGAGTTTTGGCTACATCTCACAAAATTAGTGCATCTAATGTAAAAAAAAAAAAAAAGGTAGCAAATCCTTAAAAGTGCAGTTCAAGAGCATCCTGAAAGTTCAGAAATCCCCCGTGTCAGGACTGAAACAGCTCCTCACCAGGCTGTGAGTTTCCAGCTGTTTTCTGCAGCTGGCCATAGTGCAACTGGTAAATGACCAAGGAAAACACAAAGACTTGCACTCTTCTCCCAAATGACGCCCTAGGCTCTTCTCTCGCTTGTGTGGGGACCACTCAGCCCTGTCACCCGCTCCATGTGACTGCAACATGCATGGGTGAAACTTGTGCCTGAGCTGCCTCGAGCAAGAGGGGTGTCCCAGCCCCCACCCCAACACTGTCCCTCTCCCTGTCCCCTTGCAGATGCTCGGCTCCCCTGGCCCATGAGGCTCTTCCACTCGGCAGTCAGGGTCTGCAAGAGTCCCCAGGAGAACTCCAGCGAGCTGCAGACTTTCCACCAGATCCAGCGCCGGACGCGCCGGCACCGCACCATCTTCACCGAGGAGCAGTTGCAGGCCCTGGAAACGCTTTTCCACCAGAACCAGTACCCGGACGTCGTCACCCGGGAGCACCTGGCAAACCGCATCCACCTGAAGGAGGAGAGGGTAGAGGTGAGGTCCTGCCACTTGGTGGGTGCTGCTTCCTGCAGCCCCCCAGGAACACAGACCAGGGCATTGCACTGTCCTTTTTGGGAGCTGCAGACCCAGGGCCTTGTTTTAAAAATCTATTCTTGTGTACTTGACAAAACAGGACTTGGGAATGGCAAACAATGGAAGGATATAAACCAGTTTCTGCTGGGCTGATTTTTTCTGGTATCCAGTCCCACTGACATGATGCCTCTCTCCCAGAACTACCTGTATAAACACACAGACATGTCCAATTCTGCCCATCCCCTGCACCCAAGTGTATATTCCTTACTCAAGTGCTCTGTGTGACTTCTGAACTTGCCATGGGAGCATCCTGACTCCCCTGTGCCCCTTACCTGTATTGCAGGATTGCAGAGGAGGGACTGATTAAGTTTTGTATCAAACTTTCATATCAGGAAATGTATTACAGTGTCCTACAGCTCCCATGGCACGGCTCAGCAGCGTAGCTGCCTCCCCCCCCCCCAGTGAAACACGAAATGCAAATGCCCATTTCTTGCTTTGCACTTTTCTAGGTTTGGTTTAAAAATCGTCGGGCGAAGTGGCGGCACCAGAAGAGGGCGAGTGCCTCAGCACTGATCCTGCAGGGCACCAAGCAGCCCCCCGAGGAGAGCTGTTAGTGCTGTGGGTGCTGTGGGTGCTGCAGCTCAGCAGAGACGCCAAGAGCATCCACTGCCTGTGGCTGATGGGCTCTGCAGGGGGGTAACCTGAGGGGCACTAATGAATAAAGAGGGAATCTCTGTGATTCACAGAGGAAGAGGACAGGTAAAAGCAGACACGGCACTTTCACATCCCTCTTGCAAACCTAGTTCACATAGCAAATAACTCGGCAGGCATGGGGTGCAGGGGACAGAGCTGTACCAGTGTTAAATGTGTGTGCTCCAAGAGGAGAGAGTCCCCTTCTTGTCTGTGCTCTGTACACATAGCATTTGTGCTTGTTTTACTGCTGTAATTTGCAAAATATCCTTCAAATGAATGTTTCCTATTTGCAGCACCTCAGTGACATCTGGAGTTGATTTGGGGGTGGCACTTGCCGAACAGGCGATTCGTTCCGTAATAAAGAAACCGGGATTTGTCCCCACAGCTCGAGGCAGGGATGATCCATGGGTTGTGATGGGAGGGCTGGCACAGCCAGTGCTCAGCTCTCTTTGTAGCATCCAGGTCCTGCCAGAGAGAGCCATGTCTGTGTTCCTGGCAGGGACAAAGAGAACCAATGTCCCGTAGAGCATCGAGATCCATAAAACTGTCCTGTCACCTCTGCCTGAGCAGCTGGGCAGGGGTCCCACTCCCCAGGTTCACCTTCCCCATTCCCAAGCCTGGGGATCCCGGGGTTTTTCTGAAGAGGCCTGAGGCGGCCGTGGGGGGTGCTGGGGGACACGCCGAGCTCCCATCCCAACTCCCATCCCAGCTCCAACCCAGTTCCCCCTCTGCTCCCATCCCAGTTCCCATCCCAGTTCCCATCCCAGTTCCCATCCCAGCTCCTATCCCAGTTCCCATCCTAGCTCCTATCCCAGTTCCCATCCTAGCTCCCATCCTAGCTCCTATCCCAGTTCCCATCCTAGCTCCTATCCCAGTTCCCATCCTAGCTCCCATCCTAGCTCCTATCCCAGCTCCCATCCCAGTTCCCATCCCAGCTCCCATCCTGACGCCCCGTCGCAGAACGGGACCGGGCGGGTCCTCCCGTCCGGCAGGGGGCGCTCGCGGGCAGCACCGTGTGGGCTGTGACCCGGGCTGTGACGCGCCGGGGCGGAGCAGGAAGAGGCCGCGGCCGCCCCGGGCCCGTCGCGATGGAGGCGCTGCCGGTGCCGCTGCCCGCGGGCTCCCCGGCCGCCCTGCTGCCCTCCGCGGGCCCCGCCGCCGTGACGGCCAAGGGGGCGACGCCGGCGGCCCCGAGGCAGGCGAAGAAGATCCTGGATGAGGAGGCCTACATCGAGGTGAGGCGGCGGGCCCTGCTGCGCCAGTGCCCGGGCCGAGCGCTTCGGGTCGGCCCGGCCGGGTCCGCCCGCGGCCGCTACCCGCTGTAACCGCGGCTGAGGGTCGGGACGGCGCTGTGATCGCCCCCCAGGCTGAGAGCGCTCCGCCACCGGTGCGGGGCCCGCGGGCTGCCCGTCCTGCCCGGGGCTGTGCCGGCCCCGAGCTCAGCCCCCGCTCCCGGGTGTCCCGCCGTGCCTTAGCAGCTGCCTGTGTTTGCAGAGCTTGGAGAAGATCATTCAGCGAGATTTCTTCCCCGACGTGGAGAAGCTGCGGGCGCAGAAGGAGTATCTGGAGGCTGAGGAGAACGGCGACTTGGAGAAGATGAGGCAAATTGCCATCAAGTTTGGCTCCTCCTTGAACAAATCGTCGAGGGACACACCTGCACCCTGTAAGAAGTGTCTCTCTGGGGCATCAGGAGTTTGATACTGTTGCTCTGCTTTATTTAACTGGGTGCAGACAGTGCTTATCTGAAAGGTTAAAGACTGACATTGCAGGAGAGTTACTGCTGCAGATTGGGCAGTAGCCACTGGTGGCTGATGCTGAATCTCTCTTTGATGGTGTCTGATAACTCCTTATTGAAGGAGGGGTTTTGGATGAAGCAGCTTTTGAATAGCCATTCCTTACAGGCATCTTTTGCCAAGTTCCTGCTCCCTAAGGAACAGGGAGCACATGCTCTAATTGCATATGCTCTAATGTGCAATATTAATGCTCTCAGAAATCCTAAGCTGTCTTTTGAATCCTTACTGCAGTTTTAGGGGTTCTTGTTGCACCTACAGATGTGTGAGATTTTCATGTATTATTGACAGAAGGTGTTGGAAGCTCATGGCTATCAGAGGTTCCCACAGCAGGAGAAAAACTTTTTAATTAAATTGTTGATCTCTTGTGCTTTCTGTGACTTGTTTGGCACATGACCCTCAGAGCAAGGGTCCTGTTCTGTGCTCTGGTAACCAAGCGAACCTTTATTTTCTGAGACAGATGTTACCCCAGCCACATTTGAAACTCCAGAAGTGCATCCAGGCGGCCTTCCACTGGGAAGTAAATCCAAAGGCGGCATCAAATCTTCAGAAGAAGGTAGGAGAATGTTGTTTCTCTAGCTGAATTCTTCAGCAGATGGAAATTATTCTTGTGAGCCCTGTCTCCTCTGAGGGTTTTGGGTACTTAGCAAATGTTTAAGCAGTTTTCCTTTAACGTTCTGGTAGATGATCCCTCTAAAGTTGAACTTGATATAATGTTTTACATCATCTGTGTGAATTCTCTTTGTGACTGTGTCAGTTCTTAACTCACTTGATCTCTTCAGATTTTTCCTGTGTCACCTGAAATAAATTCTGTCAGTAAGCAGAGACTGTAGGGGCAGAGCTGTCTGTAGGACACGTTACAAGTGTCTGCTAGCAGTTGGCCACTTACGTGCTTTACCTTTAGAACAAATAGCTGTAAATGCCATGAAAGGTTTCATGTAAAAGTTGGTTATATTGTTCCAAAAAAGATTTATTACTGTGTGAATATATTTGTTTTCCCAAGTTCTGTGTTAGTTGTCAGTATGTCTGGGGAAGTCTCGCTGCCAGGAGGATTAGCAGTTCTATGTAGTGCTCTCACAGAAAGGGAGGCATTAACCTTTCTCAGGCTTCTTCCCTCCTCTCGTTAGGAGATGCAGAAAAAGATGATAAAGATGCCCTTCCCAGCCTGGACACCTTCCTGGCCAAGCACACGAGTGAAGACAATGCTTCGTTTGAGCAGATCATGGAGGTGGCCAAGGAGAAGGAGAAGGTCAAGCACGCGTGGCTGTACAGTGCAGAGGAGGAGTACACGCGGGTAGGAACTGCCTCAGCTGTGTCTGCCCTTCCAGAGGGGCACAGCAGGGAAACGCCATTGCACTCTGTTTCTTATTGATTCTTATTGTTTGCACTTCGACTGCGTGTCTCAGTTCAGCTTCCTGTTCCTGTTACCAGAACTAACCCCTTCAGCTGCCCAGGCACAGTGCTGTGTGAGCGTGGCTGGCTGTGCTGCCTTCCTCAGCTCCCTCTGGGGCAGGTCCAGAGCTGTTCTGGGGCTGCCTTGTCGATCCTTAGCCATCAGCAGTGAGCAGCTGGCACTGGTGCCAGATGTGTCAGTGATGGATGAGGGCTGCAGTGCCTTTGAAGTTTGGCACTGACACACGAGTGTTTACTGCTGTTGTTGTGAGGGAGTGTTATTTTTTTATCCTGGCTAATGTAAGCCCTCAGAGTCTGTTACAGTAAAAATGCCCTCAGTGGCTTGTTATGCATCTTGAATGCTTTCATCCAGAATTAAAAGGCAGGCAGCAGGAGAGCTCTTGCAAAGCACAGGGGTTGTTTCAGGTCAAGGTGAAGCTACTGGAGCTGGTCTTGTGCTGGAGTTGTGTCTTGCTGTCAGCCAGCACTCCGGTCAGACCTTGCATTTCCTTGCATAGTGTGCTCCATAGGGAGTGGTTGTTTGGAAGGTCACCTGGGATCAGGATGGTTTCTCAAATGCCAGTTGCCAAAGAGAGAGTGCCTGTGCTGGGCCTGATGCAAAGTGTGCCTGGACAGATGGCCGAGCTTGTGATGGACCTCTCCAAAGCGTGTCTGCCTCAATAAAGATTGCAGGAGGCTGTTTAAGACCTCCGTGGTTGTTTTTTGTTTGGTTGTGTTGTTGTTGTTGTTGTTGTTTTTAATTTTTTTTTTTTACCTTTAAAAATTTTTTTCCATTGCCCTTTCAGCGACAAAATGAAAACCTGGCACTTCCTTCAGCAGAGCAGCAAGCTCTGGAGAATGTGAAAGCTGGACTGGATACCTGGGAATACACGGCTCGGAACACCCTCATGTATTACCCAACAGGTGAGGCACACAGGTCTCGTGGGAAAGGCACTGGTTCTGGGGGGTTGACTCCAAACAGTGCTTACAGCATTTCCATGCATGACTGAGCAGCTCTTACACATAATACTGCAATTTTTCTTCTGTGAAGCTCAGATATGTAACGTTGGTTTTAAAAAGTATATTTTGGTTTTTTTCCTTGTCTTTCTTACTTTCTTGGTCCTTTGCCTCTGATTCCAAAGTTTGATCATGTCCTATTTGTCATTGAAAAGCCCGTTATCTATTACAGAAGCACTTGTTTTTGTGAGCCAAGTCTGTCTTCTTTATGAGCACTTTGTTGCCATCTTTATTAATTTTTTGCTTCTGCTCAAAGAGTGCTACTTGGGCTTATATAGAAAAAGACATTTTGTAAATGCAGTTTTCTTTCTTGGCTATAAAATGTACAATTGATAATTTCTGTGAACCAGTGAAGTAGAGAAAAGAAAGTATTGTTTACTTTTTTCTTTAAAGAAAAAATTCTATTTCAGGTGGTACAAAGCATGCATCTAGTGCAAATGTGGTTTTAAATTGCTAGAGATACACACTGAAATTGCTGATGTTTTGTGTTGTGTAGGAATGTGTGGCAAGTGCCATGTTGATCAGGAGCTTTAGAGCAACTGCCTGGCGTTACCTGAGCCATTTTTTAAAAGCCATTTTGCTTTTCAAGGTGTACCTGATGAGAGTGATGTCTTTAAGAAGCCCAGGGAAGTTGTCCATCGAAACACCCGCTTTGTGAAGGACCCTTTTAGTCAAGCTGTGAGCAAATCACAGCTCCAACAAGCTGCAGCCCTCAATGCTCA